CGAAGAAATATTAAAAAAAACGAAGTGTAATTATATTTTTTGGGGTAAATGGTAGCTTTTAATTTTAAAAATGACCTCAAAAAGTGTGTACTAACTGTAGTTTACCTGTAAATCGAACAGGGGTAAATAAGATAAATCACTGCTACAACGCACTATTTCTATAAAATTGCAAATATGCAACTTTATTTGGATTATTTAATATCTTACCTTCTAGAACAATAATTTTTATTTGGCTGATTTTGAAGATATTTCACTTTTATTGATAGACAAAAAAACACTATATGAAGCACACAAAAATTTTTGCGCGCGAATGCATGATGCATGTAAACAACACGAAAAAAGTCCTGTTATAAAGCTTCAGAGAGCTTTGAAACCTTCTACTCATAAGTTCACATGTTTATTGTGAATTGACTAGTGTAATTAAAAAATTTAAAAGGCTCCCCGTTTTTTAGATAATACAAATTATATAATAAGTGCCTTGAGGCACTCTTGGGTCTTAGAGGGTTAATAAATAATTCTGAGAATATATAGAGAAATCCGTTTATTGCAACTAATTGCATTCAATTGAACTCCATAAGGGCCTGGGACCAGGGTTCTTTCAACCAGCAATAACAACTCGTTGCTAATAATTTATTGCTCAATTTATTTGATGTTGCTGCTGTTGCTGCTGTTGCTGCTGTTGCTTTTGCTGCTGCATAAAGCAAACACTGCCGCGAGCTAAATCAACAATCGACAGGGTTTCCCCCTGGCATTCCACAATGGATATGGATGCAGAGGCAGTTGCAGTTGCAGTTGCAGATACAGATACAGATACAATTACAGTTGCAGCTGCAGCTGAATATTAAATGTTTTAAGCGAACAGGTCAAGTGGATGGTCAAAGCGGCAAGCTGTGAGTGACCGGCAGCAACAACACCAAGAGGAGCAGCAACAGCAGCAGCCACAGCATGACCAGAAGCAACACCAGTAGGAGGAGGAGGAGGAGGAGCAACAGCAGCAGCAGAAGCAGCTCCAGGACATGTCTCTTTCAGTACTCACTGCCAGATCAGCCTTTCACCAATGGCTCTGTGACAATGGCCCAAGGCTAAAGCCTGGCAGATTAAATAAAAAGAAGGCAGGCAGGCAGGCAGGCAGGCAGCATCTTCAATGGCCACTGGCCATCCACTTGGGTGACGAAGCGCACTGGCAGCCGTGTTAATCTGATATTAATCAAGGAAAGGTTCAGGAAAATATCATTGAGATTTCAGGATTTTAAATGCTTTTAACCTGTGATTTTCGTAATTCATTTATTTTCTGCATGAAAGCTAAGAAATAATATATATTTTAGTTGGTCAATTCTTTCTCTCTGTGCACTATTTAGTAATTTTTAGGCAGTCACTGCTGTTGCTGCTTTTTGCCACATCACATGACAACATTCTAATTAAACAACATCTCCTGCTGGCTGGGCTTACTACAGACATGGCACTTGGACATGAGTTTTGGGCTTCCAGAGTGCGGCTGTGTCGATTTCCAAACAAGAGTAACAACAGCCTCATCATCATCATCATCATCAGTAGATGCTATCGGAGCTAGCCAAGGGGTAGAGCTCTGTGTATATTTTGCTCAACTGTCAACGGTTGACGGAGGAGCTGGTAGCCAGGATTCGTCTTTGGCACCAAAAAGACACACAATATGGAGACATTGACGACTGTCTCGATTGGTATCTGTAGATGTAACTGTTTCTAGAGATGTATCTGTAGCTCTAACTCATCTATGTGGCTGTATCTGTATCTTCAGCTCATCTAAGTAGATGTATCTGTATCTTTAGTTCCCCTATGTATCTGTATCTATATTTTTAGCTCCTCTATGTATCTGTATCTGTATCTTTAGCTCATTTATGTAGCTGTATCTGTATCTTTAGCTCATTTATGTATCTGTATCTGTATATTTAGCTCCTCTATGTAACTGTATATATATCTTTAACTCCTCTATGTAACTGTATCTATATCTTTAACTCTTCTATGTAGCTATATCTCTATCTGTTGCTCCTGCCCCAATTGCCCATAGTCAGTGATGAACAGATAATGCAGGTCATATGCTCAGTGGGTTGCCTCACCGAGTTTCCATTCATTCTGTCACTTCAAATTAAATGCGCATAATGTCTTTTTGTGTTGCTGTGTTGGCTGCTTGCCTTTTTCCTGTGTTGCCGCTGCAATATGTTGCCGCCGTGCTGATTGCGTTGAAATTAAATCAAGGCACCACCACATCCTTTGCCAAATACCTTCTCCATCTCCTAGCCTTCTAGCCTCCTCCTCATCCTACACCCAAATACAGATAGTTGCGATCGCAACCGAAATTAAAGTGGAAATGAAAATCATCCTCTTTGCGACCACCATCAGGCTCGCATAATTTCTATGAATTTTGCCTGCCTCAGCGAAACTCGGGGCGTAAATTATTCATTTTGGGCTCACAGAACGAGAACGAGAACGGGAACGGGAACGAGAACGAGACTACGACTACGATGCCGACGACGACGACGACGACGACGACGTCGACAACATGAAAATGCAAAATGAAATGAAAATCGTTTCATTCTAATTAGAGCAGCAACATTTTGCGCTGAGACAGCAAACAGCACGGCACGCGGGGGGTAAGGTTTTGTGAGGAAGTTGGGTGGCTGGCAAGGGGGGCCTTGGGTTTTGTACTTGCTTTATGAGATGGGTTTATGCCGCTAAATACATAATTATCTGGCTGATTTCATGAAAAACTGATTAGTTTCTATAATTTTATAATGTATAATTTTCTATTTCCAACAGAAAGTATTAATTTATCGATACTGTATCGATATTGTATGACATTTTGATCGATATTTTAAATGTTGCAATAAATCGATATATTAATTATTTTATTTTAAAGCAATATATTCGGAGAAACAGGATAATATCCATATTTTAATATTAAATGCAATATTTATCGATTCTTTTTTGATATTTAAATCGAAATTGAATACATAAATCGATAGTTTAGGGTTGCGATATGTGCAAAAAATTAATCGGAAAAAAATATATAAAAAAATTAGTTTATTATTTCGATATTTGCAATAAATGCAATATTTTTTCTTTTAAAAATTTCGATTTAAGTTTTTTAAATAAATCGATACTTAAGTAATAAACTTTAATAAATATATACATTTTATCGATATTACTTTTCGATATATATTCAATATTTTTCTATATAATACTTTCTTTATACATTTCTTTTTTTGACTTAAAATCGAATTCACAAAGATTTCCCCAAACTTGACACTGCATAAACCCGGTATTAGTCGCCTTGAGATAGACGACAATTAGGCTAGTGGGTGGCTGTGGGTGGGTGGTGGCATAGTGAGGGCGGCTTAATGGGGCATGGGAAGGTGAGGACGTCAAATTAAATGAGTTGCCGTCGTCCCCCTCCGTAGCTCCTGCTGCTGCTGCTTGCTTGCTGCTTGCTGCCTGCTGCCTGCTGCTAAAAGTAAAAGTGTTAAAAGCTGCTCACTTAAAGGTAAATCTCAAGCTCAAGTATGCATATGCATATGTGTGTATATCCGTCTGTATGATGACACTTGTGCGCTCATTCTCAAACGCCCCATTTTCAAGCCGGAGGGGTGGCTCAGGCTCAGTGCTTTCACTGATTTTCGCTGGCAGTTTTTTTTGAAGTTGTGCTCGTCGTCGTCGTCGCTGGCATTCCAAGTTTCTTGTTTAATAGCAAAAGCCGCCGTGGCCACCTACGCCGCCGCCTCGGAGCCCTGTTTATTGCTTGGAATAGAGAGGGGGAGGGGGGACGCGGTACGCGAGATGTGTTTAAAAAACAATTAGAGACAAGGGGCCTTGTTGCTGGCTGGCTTAATTTCAAAAATTCCCCAGTCGCAAGCGTGGCAAATGAAATGTTCCTCTCGTTTTTATTTTGTAAACAAAACAAGAGCCCTGTTTGACTTTCCCCCTTCTCCTCTACACTTTGCCTTTGTAAATTATACATATATATATATATATATATGCCTTAATCCGAGAATAATGCCCTACACTGTCAAGGAATTTAATTCCTCTTCCCTAACAAGTTGAGCGTAACATAAAAATAAGAGCAACATAAATAAAAACACGTAATGGACATGTGTGTCACAAAATATTGTAATAGTAAAAGCAGAAAGAAAATATATCCCAGCAGACAAAGAGCGCTAAAAATCTTAGTTTCGCTAAATGCTCAAAAACGGACGCGCAAACGGACGAAAAGTGGACAATTCTCAGGATTATACCCGATAATGAGGTCGTAAAAGGTCCGCAACTGAAATCATATTCGGATTCCGAAAATTATAGCATTTTCTGCCACAAAACCCATGACAGGTTATTCAATTTATTATCGCAAAACTATCATTTTCAATATCATAAACAAACGTCTTGGTCTGCTGGGATATTGCAACGCAAAAGGGTCTCACAAAAACCCGCACACAAAATGGTTAATGCTCGGGTGTCACAAATAATTGAGCACCTGTTTACATTTCAATGCACTTTTTGTGTAACATAACATATGTTTTTATTGGGGGCAGCAATTGATAAATTCATATACATTGTTTTTTTTTTTTTTTTGAAGCTAATCTATAAGCTGTTTTTCTGGTAATGATAATGAAGGTATTTTTTCACCAAAGCCTTTTTTAGATTATTATATAAAATTATTAGCAAAATGATGAATTCAATTTCTCCAAATACCAATCAATTTTACATGGAAATAACCGATTTAATCCTTTGTTTTGTCTGCTTTCTGCTATTCCATGAAATGATAAATTTACTATATGTGTATATATGAAATCATTGGCGTTGACAATGCTCCTGTCGACGCTGCTCTCTGGCTTTGTGCAAATGAATAAATCACTGCCGATGCAGCAGGATTGTTGGCATAATGAGTAGAATAATTGATAAACATTAATCGTGGCAAAGGGATAAGGCAATAGGTCATTGGCACAAGTATTAAAAATAATAACCAAAGAGCTTAATAGTTGGGAAAACTACTTGGTAAGCTTATATATTCAGTTAAAACAAAACAATAATTATAAAAATATTTTAAAAGAAAGTAACATATCCTTGTCCTATTGATCCTGACTCTCCTCTCCATCTCCATCATCCACCTTTGCTACTGGTAAAGAAAGAAGCTGTAGCATCTGCCTGTTGTAACACTCCCTGGCCAAGGATTCAAAGATATTCTTCACATTAACGCCACTCTTGGCCGATGCCTCGTAGAAGGAGAGACCATAGAGCTCCATATACCTGGCTGCCTTCTCCTGGGTCACCTGACGCTTCTCCAGCTCATCGCTTTTAGTGCCCACCAGCATCAGGTTGACCCCCTTCGAACAGAATTCCCCCAGTTCCTTTAGCCAGTTGCTCACATTGCGGAAGCTACCAAGAGACGTGGTATCGTACACGATGATTACACCATGCGAATTGCGATAATAATGCCGGAGCATGTCATGGTAACGTTCCTCGCCGGGGGCATCAGAGATTTGTAGATGAATCTTCTTGCCAGAGACCACCAAGTGGGATACACTGAACTCAATGCCCACGGTGGGGCAATAAATTCGATTGAAACGATCCTCCAAGTAGCGATCAAAGAGAGAGGACTTGCCCACACCCATGTCCCCCACAATTAGGATCTTGAATATAAAGTCAGACATTTTTTGTAGAAAGATTATTTAGTTTTGAGAAACTTGAGAAAGTCGAAGCCTACTTTTTGCCCTGAAAAGTATATATTTCAACTTGATAATGATTGATTTTCGATTCAATGGCAAACTTTTGGGTTGGAGACATTTCCTTTTCTTGTTTTTCTGATTGTCTTTTAAGTTTTCCTCTTACAAAAGAAAATCCTGTAAAATTGATTTGCCGCTTAATCGATTCCTTGGAATATTTAAAACAATTGAAACTCCTAATTGCACTTTGAAATTTCCTGTCACAAAATCCGCCTCCTCCTCCACCTCCACCTCCTCCTCAAACTCTGGACTTATCCATTCAATGATCCGTCAAGGCTGTCGAAAATTGTTTCGAAACTTGAAAAGGAGGGACATTTTTCGTTGCGCATATAAAATTGCAATTTTGAATGCAACTTTCCTAGGCGACGACGGGCGACAACAAAGGATAGAGAGCCATCTAGCCATCTAGCCAGCCACAAAAAGTGAGCTAAGTAAAATTATAAAAGTTTTCTTGCCACCTCCTCTCTCCCCCGAGCTTAATCCCAGTGGCAGCACTCTAGCCAAAAAAGAATACAGAACAAACTCACCTCTCTCTCTATTCTCAAGCTTAATTAAAACTCTCGCCTTTAGCGAAAACTCGAAAAATTGTCAAATAAATTTTGATGTCATATAAAAATGCTAATAAATGCGTTTGCCACCGAATGGGAAAAGGTGTCGCTGTTGGCGAAATGCAAGTGCTGCCAGGCTGGCACTTTCCAATTGCAATCCTTGGCCATGACAGTGTCAAAACCCAAAAAAAGAGCTGCCACGGGAATTGGAGTTTCGAGCCAAAAGGTTTTTCGCTTCAGCTTCTTGCTAGTGCTTTCTGCTTTTGCGATTTGGCCGATTGTGCACGTAACATGAAATTAAGTAAAATACTCGAATTACATTTGCACTTTGCGTTCCATGCGCCATTTGTTGCAAACGTGACAATCGATGCCGCAGGCGCAGTCCAAGTTGAAACGCCAAGGCGAAGGCGAAGGCGAAGAAGCCTCCTCCACTCAGATTCTGGCGACACCCAAAACCCTGTGACCATTACCCATTACCCATTTCATATTTCACGCTTCCTACGGTCTGCTGTCCGTTGTTTTTTGTATTTTTTTTTTTCGTTTTGTATATTTTTTGCTTTCTTGAAGTACAGAAAATGTCGTGGGTCGTGTCCGGGTCTGCGTGTCAAAAGTCTCGTTCGACATTTACAGCTGTCTCTCTGGCTGGCGATGGAGATAGACCCTGGCACACACGTTCGCATCAAATAAATCAGCATTTTTAGGTTTCCAAACTCCAAATAGAACTATTTTTTAGAATCTCTGGAGAGGTGGGCAAAGAGGTCCCCAAGCTGACACGTCAAACATGGCTTTTAAAACATAAAACGGGGGCAAATTGTTTTATATTGGAAGAGCAATGTAACTGGGTTGATAATAATATAACATTTGGTTAATTATTTATTTAAGAAATAATTTTAAAAATAATAATAATATAACATTTTTGTTATTTATTTATTTAAGAAATAATATAAAAAAACACAAAAGATGTTGAAGTTATATAAAAAATACAAAGATGTTGCTAAAGAGTGCTCTTAGAATTCTCAAGTGTAAATTCAGAAGGGTAAACGAAGTACTGAATTCAGTTTTTTTTTATATATTTATTTATTTTCTAGCCTAATTATGACATATTTTAAGAGATTCTATAAGCTCTTATAATAATTTCTCCGCTTAAAAATTACAAGTACAAGAGGAAGTTTATTTTCATTAAAAAAAAAAAAAAATAATAATATGATGTATAATTTCCAAAACAAACTCATGTTGTCTACAAAAAAACCTCTACTTATTTCCTAAAACTGATTAAATTCCTAAAAATTAGGTCACTTTTAATTCCTTTGCTGAAAACACTTCAAAATTCATTGCTATGCACAAATCTATTTATTAAAAATTCGACAGGAAACATCAAAAAGTCAGGGAAAAGCAATTGTAAAGGTTTTATACACTCAAAACAACAAGCAGCTGGAAGCGATAGCAAAGCACTAAAATTCATTTGAAAAGGGCTCTGGCCCAGTTCTGCGAACTAATCAAAAATTCCCTCCTGCTGAGGTCTTCATAAAATTCAGTTTTATAGCTGAAACCATAAAACATGAAAATGCATAATTGAGCGATCTTTCTTTCTCTCTTTTTTTTTTTGTTTGTTTTTTGTGGCACATCGACCTGATGATGATGTAAGCCCCCGTGAAATGCTCACTTCTCGAATGAACAATTGCAATTAAGGAACGCACATTGTTGTAAAAAATTTAACTTCAGCAGCAGCTTTCCTTTTTTGTTGTTGCTGTTCTTGTTTTTTTTTTTTTTTTTTTACCAACCGGGTGTAGGTTCGCATCAAATTGTTTTCCTGTAAACGCAACGGAATGGATAATGCAACGCAGAAAATATTAATTAAAATACAAGGCACGCAGTAGCAGCAGCAGCAGCAGCAGCAAGAGGGACGGATATGGATGCTGGGTGGGATTAGTGCCGACGAGATGCTGCTCCCGGTTCGCATGTGGAGCGGCTAAGTACATGACGATGTGTGTGCAGTAATGCAAGGTAATGTTCACGGTAATGGAGACGGGACGAGACGACGGGCAGAGCACTAAGTAACCAACAAACCAAACAGCAGAAGCACCAGCAGCAGCAGAAATTCAAACTCTTAAATTGAATGAATGTGCACTATGTGCAACGGCATCCAAAATAAAGGCAGAGAGGGAATAATTCCACTCCCAAATCCTCTCCTAGGCCTTGAAATTTAAGACTATTTTAAGGACACTTGAAATATTTTGTAGAAGAGAAAGTGGGACTATAAGTGAATTAATTATTAATCAATTAATTATAATTAATTAAGAAGATATAAGTAGGCAAGGATATTTAAGAGCTACATATTTCAGTTATTCTCTTAAACGTGGTTTATGGGTAACAGCATAAAAGTAGGCAATGTTCTTTTAGAAACTGCGATTTTTGTTTAATTATAACAATGTCTAAGAGTAAAAAAACAAGAAGATTATGACTTGAAATGAGTAAATACTCTGTTACGAGGCAATCAAGCTACCAAAAAGATTACTAGAAATATTTTGAATTACTCTCTTGAACTGTTTTTGGTTGCCTCAGCCTAAAGGTAGGCTATGTTCTGAGAGCTTACCGATTTTTTATACATTTTAATAATATTTATAAATATAAAACAATAGTTTTGCATGACAAATAAGCAATTTTCATCCCTCCCTGTCAAAATGTTGTATTTTTTGTTGTATTTTCCTATTTTTTTTTATTTTTTCCAGGGTATACAAATATCTGCTCACCGAAGTTAGCTCTCTTCCTAAATTATTAATTTATAAATATAATATATTAAAGCCCTTGAAGCACCTTGGCATAAGACTCATTAATTATCAGTTCAATGCTGCTGATGTTGTTACAAAACTATTGTACGTTTTGTTAATCTTTTAAAGAGAAACCATCGCTTGCCGCAAAAATAAATCAATGTAATTAAATGCTATTACCCTCTGGTTTTTTATACATCCTTAAATGTTTTTTGTTCGACATCCCGAGAGAGTCGGGCAAAAAAAATGTAACAATTAAATGTTGCTATTTGGATAAAAAAAATAAAATTGTATACAGGGGAATTCTGCGTGGGCGTGTTTTTAATTTAATGCCACATCATACGCTTGTTAAAATCTGATTTTGTACGCCTGTTTTATGATCTGCTTGGCTTGTAATTTGATACCATAATCATATGATGATGATGATTTCTTTTTGTACTTATTCACAAAAACAGAATCTATTAATATTCCCTAATAAATAATAGTCAACATTTATATGCCATGAATAAAATATACAAATGCGTGAAATAAAAAAAAAGGGGTTTTTGTGGGCTCAAATATACAACAACAACAACAAAATGTTCATTTAAGGTCGATTAACAACCTCAAATAATATAAAAGAAAAAAATTATCAATTAGATATTTACCAAGAGTCCACTCGGATATTGGGGAAATATTTGAAAAATGTTTCAATTAGTATTTCACAAAAGTGTGGTGAAACGGCAAATAATAGCGGTTTTTTTTGTATTTTTAATAGCCTTGGTGGGCCATATTTTGGTTACAGTCAAGCCTGACTATGCTGAACTTACCTGAAAGTAAAAGAGGGGAAATAAACGTTAGAATATAGTTTAAATATATATTTAAAAAAACTGTCTATTAATTCCCACAAAACCAGCGAGTAGTTAGTATTTCGATGTCACTGTTAATTAACCCCTCCGGCAATTTGTATCGATTACGAATTAAATGGCATTAAAACTAACGCTGCTTTGCCCGCCGAGCGCCATTCATTATTTTATTTTTCGAACCAAAAAACCGCCTCCGGGTCCAGGGTATGGGGTTTGCTTTGCACTCTTTACACCCTTGGCCACAGCCCAGGAATTTAATTATGAAATTAAATTAATTGAAAGTCCACCTATCACAATGGCAAACAAGAGGAAACGGCAAGCAAACAGTAAACGTTAAATATTGATGGCCTATAAATAAAGCAAAGTCCCGTCCCGCGGTCGCATCCCAACCAACCACCCACCCATCGCCAGGAAACAGGGATACGGGATTGTGATTGGCGCCAGGACCTCCGCTCGAAAAGGAAGTGCGAAATTGGGGCCAGAAGCAGCAGTTAATAATGGGCAGACGCCTGCCAAAAAATGTCCTCATACTCGTATGTATTATGTACTTAAGGAAAAAATATACAAAAGTTTTCTTTTTTTACTTTATGGGATTTTCTTTTAAATTATAAATCATTAAAGGTTTTATAGAAATATTTCTTGATTAGAAAACAATTTAAATAATGCTTAAAAGTATGCCACAAAATTTAATTCATTAGAATATACAAGATTAGGCATTTAGACAATATTACTGCATACTTTTAGACATATTTTAAAATGATTTAAAAAAACAACAATTTATTAAAACATATATTTCACATATTTACACTTAAAAATCCGCGTTTAAGAATTTCTCCCATTTCGATTTCCCTCATATTTTCAAGAAAATTCTTTTCCAAGTGCATTGAGTGGCGTTGTACATGTAAATTTATACGTTGGAAGACAAAAATGAATTTATAGCAACCGCAAAAATTAATTTAAATAACCTCTTTTGGTTGTTGATGTTGCCCTTGTCGATGTTGTTGCCGTCTTTGTCGCCTTGGTTGGACTTGGCGACAAAAATGTGCAAACGAGCGACCGCAATGGGCACGCAGACGATGTAGCACCACCATGGCACCATATACCACCACCTCCATGGTGGCCAAGAGGTGTGGATTTTGAGGGGTTGGGTTGGGGGGGGTTGGAGAGTTGTTACAGTAGCAGGGCTGAAGGCGTGGCCGCCTGCCCAGATAAGGCACGAAAGGTTCCGCCAAAAGCAGTCGCCAAGTCGCCACAGAGGAGAAAAGTTTTCGCACGGCGAGAACGCAAAAAGTTTGTTGCAACATCGAGGCTTCGGCTTTGGCTTCGAGTGGCGATAAATAAGACAGTGATGCAACATAAATAAGACAATAATATGGGGGAAAATCTGGCGCTATCATGATATATTTCGCATAAATATACCCAAGGTACTTGTACTTGCTTTATGCAGCTTAATTCTCTTTTATTTTTGTTTCGTAAATTAAATTTTCCTTTGAATATTCTGTTTTATTCTCCCTAACAATTGGCTTTTATTTGGTATTTTTATTCATGAAAATAATCCGCCCATAGACATAAAACGTTTTTTTCTTGATTCAAGGAAATATTTTCTCCCCTAATTGGAAAACTCAGAAAATATAGAATGACAATCGGAAGCTTGGGGGTAGCCACAGAGATTTCCCAGAACGTGGCGCAGCTGCAGTGCAGCGATTTTGCATAAATTCAGAAATTGCCGATTCAGAGAACTGTGAAACTTGACACTGACAACGATTAAGGAGCAACTTTGGACCCTTTGGAACCGTCTCCGGATGAGTAGTTTTGTTTGTTCCCAGCAAAAATCTATTTCAAAATCGATAAAAACCTTAAATCATAAATCGGACCCGTGTCATAATCCGTTTTATACAGAAGAGATAAAAAAAATTTAAATGAATATTTACAGCAACAAGACCGCAAAGTTGAACAAGAGAAAAAAAATGAGACGTTTACATAAACAGCAACAGCCTGCTCAACATCGAAGTTTGTAGTCCTGTAAAAAAGAGCTTGGGGTTTGTGGCTCCTTAATAAAGATATTATTTAAAACATAGAAGGTAGCCAAGGTACACTTGAAAAAATAATTAAGGGTAGTTTTTACTTGATTATAAATAGTTTATATTAAATATTACCTATAAGATTATAATATAAATAAAATAAAATAAAATAAAATGAATTACTGCTCTTTTTTATTTTTATTAATTATTTAAATTATTTATATATTATTACTC